CTCTTTCAGCCTATCCAGGTCTTCCCGCAGGGCTGCTCTGCCTTCCAAAGTCTCCACTTCCACACTTAGTTTGGTGTCATTGGCAAAATTCATCAGGGCACACTTCATCCCATCTTCCAGATCATCTGTGAAGATACTAGTGGTGTATGTCCTATGGGTTTGTGAAGGGAAGACTTGTGTTGGTCTCCAGAAACCCTGATGTAACTCTGCTGGGTTTAAGACTTTCAGAACACTAGCCTGTGCTCTGTGGTTCTGGTTTTGCTGAAACAGCTCTTAAGGTTTATGAAAGGGCTTTTAAGCTCTTCCATGCTTACATGTACCAACTTCCATTTGTGCTTATCGTTCACTGTTTGGACATCACAATATGATCCTTTGTCCTAAGGCCCTAAGTCACAGCACAGTGATTTAGAATTGCAGCAGCTAGATACTTACGCTAGTCCAGTTTTTATATAAAAGATTACCAGTGTATCCCTTTTATGACTTATGCCAATAGAAAGTCTAATCCCCAATATAGGTTGTATTTTTGTTCACACAGAGTGAATACAAAGAATAGGAAAATTTTGAAAGTGGTGACATTAGTTTTAGTTTTTAAATGGTATTTTTTGAGGTTCTTCATAGATCCTGAAATGGCAGCTTTTTAAGGTTCTTCACAGAAAACAACAGCATCCATGGTTTCCATATTCATAAACACCTTATTAGACTTAATAAATCTACTTAATCTTGTGTTTTAAAATATATCTTAAATATTATTAAATTATTCTTCTGAATTAGATGTACAAACCCTCCATAGTTTCCTTTAATTCTTTCTGTGGGTATCAGAATATATGATTTTTGAAAGAAATGTTTGTAATTAGCTTGTAAATCTTGGTATTTGTCTTCCTTTGTTGTCAGTCCAGCACTACCATGGTAGATGCTTTGTAAACTATAAAGCAGAAGATAAATTATGTTTGGATTATTCTTATTATTAACCTTCCAGTTAGGAAATGAAAAATGAACATGTAATAGAACTGTAGAATAAAACATAGGAGTGCTTTAGTCTAAAAGCCAGCAAGAGCTGTTAATCCCCTAAGAATAAATCCCCTCAACAGGACAGTGTTCTGAAGCAGAATGCAGGTTTTGTTCAAGCCAGCTGAAGCGCAGTTTCCAAATCCAAACAGAGTTCTTGTATGGCTGGTTATTGCTCAGTGCTCTTTGTCTGAATCTGGGTGACTGCTCATCTCCCTGCCTACCTTTGCCGTCTGGATTTCTCTTTCCACTGTCATTTCCTAAAGTTTGCTCCACATCAAACCTTTCTGAAGCCCTTTTACACTGAATCATTCCTCTTCTACATTTATGCTTATGCATGCTTATCTGCCTGTCCACACAGAGCAGAAGCTGTGGGTGTAATTGTGTAGCAGATACATACATGGACTATTCTGATTCATATTTTACTTATATACACCTTTGATTTTACAGCTTGCATGTAACTGTCAGGGTCCATCTTGGTTAAAAAATAAGTTACATTGGTTGTAGCTGAATTCCTCATGTATTTTGTTTGATATGTCTCAGTGCTTTGCTTCTCTTGGAAAAAAATCATATCCAAGATGGTTTCTGGCACGTTTTGCTGCTTCAGGTTGACTGGGTTTAAACACCAGGAAAACGTGGGTTTGTGCAGGTTAGAAAACACCTGAACACAGGACATAGGAAAAGCAGGAGAGACAGATTAGGAACAGAAATCTCTGAACTCTGTTAAAAAAAACCCCAAAACTCAACAAAAACACCCAACCAAAACTATTGTTTTCTGTTGTGCTGGTTTTGTTCTTTTGAGTGGGATGTTCTGGTTTTTTCCTTCTTTGGGAGTGTAGAGGAATGTACACGTGAAGTTTTGCACAGGATGTTTTTTCTTCTTTAAGACTTAATTTTCTACCTGTGCTTGTTTAAAGTCTTAATCAGCCTGTTACCAGCACCTTTTTCCAGGTAGTTCCTAACCTCCATCCTCCTCCCCAGTGTACTTAAACAGAAAAAGATGGTGTGATACCACTGTTACTCATGTTGGCTATAAACAACACTAGTCATCAATTAAAGAGTTTTTCCTGCTATCATTTTGTCTTTTGGGTGTTTCTTTGATTTGTGCTTTAATGTTACATAAATAATCATTATGAATAATTTAATTGGAGATGTCAGCCTTTGCAGATGTCTCATACTAATGCATGCACACATAGCTGCTTTGTAGTTCTGTATATTGCAGCAATCTGTTTTGAATTTAACAAACTAGCTCTTTTGCATGAAGACATCTTAATAAATATTCAGAAGAAAGTACTAAAAACACAGGCAAGGAAAAAGTGCAGATGCTGTTTGTAGGAATCAGTGAATTACAGTCCCTGTTGTCTATTCCTTTTAACAGTTGTTTTTCCTCCTGTAGAATTCTGGTAGAGAAGCACTTCTTGGATACAAAGAAAACAATGGAAGTGGATCAGCCTCCCCACAGGTATTGGTGTGTGGTGTGTGTCTTCTCCACTGGCATGTTGTCTTTGTGGTATATTGCCTTAAGTGCCCAGTATGTATCTTCATGCCAGAGTAGGGATGACAAATACTTGCCTGCCAGGATACTAAGGGCAAGTATTATAATATACCAAGGGATACTAAGGGGTTTTGTTTGTGTGTAATCCCATTAGCTGGTATTAGTGGTGTTGATGATGTGTGTAACTTTTTTTTTTGTAGGGACAGGTTAGTGGCATCTGAGAGTGTGTCTCATTGCTCACGGACCCAGCCAGCACCAGGATACTGAGTGTTAACCTCGCTTTCCAAACTAGAGGGCATATTGCATGAATAGAAAGCTAATTTCTAGCTGAAGGGAAAAAAAATAAATGGTGGGCTTAAAAAAGAATCATTACTCGTGATGAAGGTAGAAGTCATTCTTCACTATGTCTTCTAAATGTTCCTTACTGGAGTGGGATTAGCAGTGGCTTCTAGAACATGTGTCCCAACACTTGACTGTGGGGCAACATTGTGCAGTAATGCTTTCAAATCACTTCTGTATCACTAGCAGAACAGTACCATAGCACAGAACCTTTTGGTTTAGAACAGCATTAAGTAGCCTAGCTGCATGAATCAATAATTGTATTTTATGTAGAAATCATAAATCCATTTAAAATAAGAAAAGGATGGTTTAAGAGGGCATGCTGGAACTATTACACAAGAACTTTCACAATAAATCTGTTCTCTTAATCATAGGAAAATATTTTTGTGTCTCTGAGATAAACGCAGTCTTCTGTTTAACACGGCAAGAAGTGAGTCACACAATTATTTTTTATAAATTTGGGACAACAATAAATGGAACTGTTTGTTTTAGTTTACATTTCTTCACTTTTTTGAAGGAGTTACACAGATACACATTTAAATCAGATCTGTAAATTGTTGGATTTAGTTGCTGCCTGAAATTGGCCACATCTGGTAGTTGTATGGTTGATTTTTCTGCACAAGGAGATGCCTCTTCCAAGGGAGTGGTAGCTATTTGGTGTCATGCATATGTTCCTTTGCCCAGGTCAGGTGTCTGTTTCCTGGGCTTTACTGTGTCTGTCTGTCTGCCTAAAAGCAGTGCAGAATTACTTGCTTTGAATTTTTGCAGCTAGGTGACACCCAGTCTTTCACCCAGAGGCTTCAGCTCCGAGTTCCCTCCATGGAGTCTTTGCTTCGAAGCCCAGTAAAAGAGTCCCTGTTCCGCTCTTCTTCTAAGGAGTCCCTGGTACGAACTTCTTCGAGAGACTTCTTGAATCGGCTGGACTTGGACACAGCTGGTCCCACCTTTGATCCACCTTCTGACATTGAAAGTGAGACGGAAGAGCCTCCGGGAAAAATGGACAGCCTCAGCAAAGAGCAGCTGCTGCAGCGACTGCGCAGGATGGAACGCAGTTTGGGCAACTACAGGGGAAAATACTCAGAGGTAGGTAATGCTGTGATTGACTTACCTGGGCAGAGAGGGGTTAAAAATGAGACTTAACAGATGCTGCAGTAGTGGATAATCTGTTTTCCTATGTGGAGCAAATGGATCAACTTACAGCCAACATGGAAGTCAAATTGTTATTCTAAGTCTGGTTATTTTTGGCCTATATTGGTCAGAATGTTTTTCTGGTAACAAAAGATGGAAATCCTTTTCTGTTTGTAAATAATGTCACGTTGTCAGCAGTAGATTGATTAGTGTTTACTTGCACAAAGTAGGCCTGTGAAGGTTCCTGCTG